TTTCAAACTGATTTCAGGTGATTTCAAACTGATTTCAGGTGATTTCAGATGATTTCAAACTGATTTCAGGTGATTTCAAACTGATTTCAGCGATCGAAATCAGTTTGTTCCCCCTTGATATAGTTAAAGTACATTAAGTAACAAAAATTAAAAATTTTGAAAAACTGGGTGCCTGGATAGAATTTTCTCAAATTGTTGTTGACAGTTTTCTACAACAAAACAAGTTCAAAAATAAAAGCGAAACTTTTATTCGTATTCTACGTAAAAAGATGCATCGGATCATAGTGAACTTGAATTGACTTAGAAAAATTCGAGTCTCAAATTTTTTAACTAGTAGCCGACCACATAAAAATACAGTGGTATCTTAGGTCCTTGATTATTCGGAAAACCTAGATTACCTAATATGAGGGCCTAGCGTATTCAATAAACTGTCACTTGCTCTAGAACATTAATGCACAGAATTTTGAGCGTTTTTGGGACGGCTAGATTACTGAGTCAACTTGGTTAAGTAGCATTTTCACTCATACCCTTAAAAGCCAGTTTGACACATGGCCATCCGACAACAGCTGTGAATTATTCATTCAATCATCTCTAATGAAAGATTCAGTCAAACCGTAGTTAAATAAAAAGTATCAGATCATTTAGTTTAGCTTGTAAGAGGGAGAGTGTGAATGTGGGCGTGAACATGGGCGTGACTGGATGAGTAAGCGAGTGTGGGCCTGTGGATGTTCTTCTCACCTTTACCCACACTCGCACACCAGATCCTCCTGTGAAATTATAAGCTGCTTGTGTTTCTGTAATAGTAAGAAGTGCAAAGCTCAAAATCTAGTATATAGTAGATCTGAACAACGAGTATATAAGCCGTAAATATCACCGCATTCCACTGAAAAAGCATATAAGAAAAATAGATCACTTGAGAGGATGAAAACGTATTAGACACCTTTGATACATGAATCTCATTGCCTATTATAGCTTTGGTTCACATATCACTCATACCATAAGATATTTGTTAGAAATACCTGCTGAATATAATATATTTTTTATGGGTACATCTCTTCATTGCACTATATAAACGTGTACCTTTTTCTTATTATGCATTACTTTACTTGAGCTGTGTTATTTCATTTCTTTTCTGTTCTCTTAAACCTATGACGCTGTATTCAATGTCTCTGTGTGCAACTCTAGCGCTCTGTTTCTCGCTGTCTTCTATGGATTTGTGAATGATCTGATTGTCCGTTGGCTTGTTTCTATTTTGCTGAAAATGTTCTCAATTAAAATACTGTTCCGTACTTCATATAGATATTATTGTTTTTACTTTGCGAACTTTTTTTTATATTTCTTATCAAGTTATCGTTTATTACGTCTAAATAATTGATGTTTTTGTTATCTGAACAATGCTATGTTTAAAAACGAATTCATTCATGATAAAACACATATTTAATCTTGATCTTTTAATTCTTGCTTTTTATCGATTAATGCTGATTCTATGAAGCTATGTACATGCTCTGTAAAGCTATGAAGAAAACGGTTAGCCGATGTATCTTGTGTGTTTTATTGATACAATGTTCAATCAGCCAGGGCTCAGAAAAGCTCGTATCAACCTTTTATGCAGTTGACTGTTGATAAAATCTTGATGCTTGGTATAATTATCTTAAAGGAAAGACTATCATTAGAAATCTCTGAATCTGAACTAATTTATATGACTTTGACTTATAATGGAAATCTAAGAATAAAAATGTTGATCAACTGTGCATCTACGTTTTACACAAGTCATGTTAGAAACACATAAATCACTCATTGGATATTACTTTCTGTGTTGAATCGTAGCGAAGTTTTCAATACAAGTTGTATTCACTACGAGTTATAAAAATGATAAATTGAAAGCCTCAGAAAGTGTTGTCTTCAGTATTTCTTTAGTACTGTCACTCAAAATGTGGATATATAATTGATGGCGATGTATCGTTCGTATGCTTACTCTATCCTATGGCGTACAAAACTGCCATGAATTTTCGAACGAAAATATTCTCTTATCAGGATCTACAAACTTGAAAATTTAAAGGTATGAAAAAAATGCCGCTGCTGCACATCAATATGGAATTAAAAAGGGATCAACTAAAGAGAAATAGTTACAAATATGTATTGTTTTTATACTTTGTTAAGAGGAGAAACTAGCACTGACTCTTACATTTATATTAAGTCTCCGATAAACACTCATATTTTGTATTCTAAACAGCTATATAGTTCTTAAATCATGACAAATCTTCATTTTTCCTTAGAGATGATATTTAGAGGATCTTAGATTTTTTATTTGAACTTCTGCAATATCCAGTTTTCTTTTATTGAATAAGATGTATCTCCAAAGTTTTTTTTTAATCATCTTACCTGCAAAATAAACTTCAAACCATCATGCGTGTCAAATGAAATACTTTTTTACTATCTGCTTCTGTCAGCTTCTACTTAGTTATAGTAAAATACATCCTAGGAAAATATTCAATTCTATTTTTTTATTATTAAACAAAATACTGAACTTCATAAATTTTGTTGGAGTATATTCAGAAGTCCACAACTAATCTTTAGCATGTTATTATCATCAGACTATGTTTAGCTAAAGCCGTTTATTTTTTTATAATACTGGTATGTCTTTATCATTGGTTGATTTAAGTGCACGATTGAATATTGAAATTCACGGGTTGAATATGGGATATGAAAGAAACGTGTATGAGTAGAGATCAATGATAGAAACTAATACTTGTATAGTTCTTCAAAGATTGAATAGTAAAAACTTGATGGTAGTTACTAATATTTGACACATTGGATATACTTGTAATTTTTGGTAATTTTATTTTATGATTATTATGTCTATGCTATTATTATGTTCCTCTTGAATTAAAGTGCAGAAAATGATTCATTTACGTTGTGAACTATCGGTAAGATAGGTACAGTATACATGATATGAGTTTGAGTAGGATGCATGTATGAAAAATATACAGGTAAGAAAGTTTCGTAAGAGTCGACTACGGATACGAAAAATGATATCTTTGCAATATTCTAGTGCACACTGCTAGGTTTTTATATCAGAAAGTGCTAAATTTTTATTCACACACTAACGGTCACAATCAATGATTTATGTCCTGCCAGTAATGATCTGTGCAAATATGTAGGATAGAGTATATGCAACGGGCTTTCTTTCGAATTCGAATCAATAATGCAAAATAATTTCATGCGAGAAAGAAAATCTACTCACAAATATTAGTTATCCAGATCAATAATGCAGTGTTCAAATGACATACTTTATTTGTAATAAAGAATTACTTTGCTGATTATATGAATATATCATGAGGAAAAAGAATCAGATCGAATTATAAATCTGAGCTAACATTTTTGTATAACTCAACCCTTACATCATTACTTTTTTCAAATAAAACATGTGGTTACATGGTAAAGAGAGTTTTCTGCTCTAATTGACATTTGAATAAATTTCTTATTAGCATCGAATTATTATTCATTGTTTACTTAAACTTCAATTATTATGACGAAGATATTTTGTGAAAAAGGCTCAGGATTATCATTGAAAGAACCACATTAAAGTTATTTTTATGCCATTTTTGCACAGTTTTAGTATACTTTGTCTTCAAAAGAACGGCTTCGATTCCGAATCAAGTAAATCTAAACACGAATGATTAGTAGTTTTTCTTTCCCAACAAACAAGACGTGAAAAAAATGCATTTAATTGTGTTAAAAACAGAGATGCCCTAATACAAATGTAATTTATGCTATCATTTATTCATATACCTCTATCAATAATACATGTACTTTCAGGTACTCGAATATACGTAACTCAGCACATGACATTGCATAGCACAATTTCTTTCCTAAATCCTAGATCTTTTTGGCCAATACATGTAGTGATGAGAGTGTATATATAATGTGTTGCATGAGTTTCCAAGAAACGCACTTCAATTTCCGAAAAATTTGCTCCGTTTTTTGAGAAAATTCGTGAAAAATTCTTTTCTAATACCTCACCCGAAAGTGACAGCGTGCACACAGTATACTATACCTGGTCAAAGTGGTCCTGTTCTCATTTATGTCCATTACAGCCATTATATACATTATATCGATTATGATCATATAACATGTTATCTCAGCAACTAGGAAATTAAGTTTAGTTTCCTGAAGACTAATAGAACGCATGTCATCAGAGTGTATGTATCTGAGTAGATGCAAAGTATGCCAGCATCGGACAGTTGAGAGGTATGAATTTCGAAATCTGATCACATATATCAATAAATTTCAGAGCTGAATATTAAAAAGCCCAGAAAAAATAGGTTTTTGATTGCCTGTTCGAAAAAAGTATGTTTTTCTCGTTCAAAGTTTCACTCTCTGCGAATTTCAATACGAAATGTGGAACAAACACAAACTTCTGCGCATGATGATATGTGATTTAGGAGAAACGAAAACAAACTTTTGTAATGATCCCAAGTGTTTCTTCGAGATGCAAAATAATAAAAAATGAAAGTCATTTTTTTGGCAGAATAAAGTACATTATTTTACTTAGAACTTAATGTTAATTTCGAATATGTAATTCTTGCTCAAAAATATTTTCAACAAAAGATAGTTCTAGTGAGACTGATCCTTTTTTTTTACGAAAAGTTTTATTTCAAATTCAAACAGATGTTCTCAATGGATAAATGTCATCCAACACCGTTATTCGCAATTGGCTTAGTGATCATCGCTATGCATAAAAAAAGCAGCCATTCTATATAGCATATTTATTGCTAAGAGTAGTCTCTTTTCTCTCATTTCCATCATCTTGTTAACATTGTCTAGCCAGATGTTGAAGAAAGATGGATGAAAGAAAAGAGATCACTTCTAGTAATAAAGAAACTAATTACTTTATATGATCGCTTTCCATGTATGCATGTAGTCGACAGCAGAATCGGAAATAAGGCTAATTAGTTGTAGCATTATGTTCAATAAAAATTCAAATTTCATATGAAGTTCGAATCATTGACACTATCTTGCCCTACGTGTTCTAGATCCGCTGAGTTGTCAGATTCAGATTCAGAATCGGATGACACATCTGTAAGACTAGACTTATCAACTGTTTTATGTATCGCATTCATTTTATTCAAAACAAAATTATTCGAATTCAGAAACGTATGAATCTTTTTTTCTTCAAGGAATTACATATGTACATCGATTTTACCTAGTAATTTGAAAGCTTCATCAAAAGCAGAAGAAACTATTCGTTCGATTTCAGCTTTCGTCAATGGTGATGTCATTGATGAAGTTGAAGATGCAACTGCTCTATTAATTTATTTATGATGCTTAGAAAAACGCAGAGATGGTGTCTTAACCGTAGAAATATTGATCTCACTCTCATTTTTAATACGATTCAATGTCGAGAATTTCTGAGTACGACGTAAAAACTGAATTACGGAAAAGTTAACAATAGATGAGAAAGCATCCAACATGGCTCTAGCAGAACGAAATATGCTTTCATATGTGTGAGAATTAAATAGCAAGATTTCAAGAGATTCCACGGATAAATTCCCTTCTATTACTAAAAGAATCAGATATATTAATTGATGTACATTGATTTGGATCGATTGAAACGACGTATCTGTGATAAAAAATTGTCATATTAATTTTCCTATAGATTGAGAAGAATTCTCATTTGATGACCATGGAAATATTTCATTAGAAGCCATGTCCATCAGATACGACATAGAAAAACAGTGAATCAGACATGATAAACTCGATCGTTCATACTCGTTGGGTGTAGGTGTAGACATCGATTTTCTCATCACCCATACCCACGCCCTTTCGAAAATTGATTAAGAATTTGTAGATATTCACTGACTTAATTTTAAATAAACAAATTTTCTATTCAAAAGGGTGTTTTTTGAGCAATTTTATTTTCAGTTCTTTGTCTGATTTTATTAAGATATTGCTCTTAGTAGAGAATTCAATTTTAAAGTTGAGAGACATATTCTTCTCTCATTTGCCGTAATTTTTTGATCAAGTCTTCAATACCATCGACTGTGCGTCCATAATCGAATGTTACATGTTTGGTTCCATCTAACCAATCAACTTGAATCCATTCTGCTCCACCATCAGCACAATCAGGACATCCGATCGTATTGTCTAGTGCTAAAAATGTCTTCAAGTTAAGACTAGAAACGAGTTGTTCCCATTGACTTGCTGGAAAAGGAAATGGTCGCTGAACTGAAGGATAAGATTCTTGATCAAAGTTTGGTCGTTTTGAAGCGACTACTTGTAATGGATCTAATGTGACATTAATGGATTGTTGACAATAACCAGCACACATTCCAAATGAAGTTCCACTAGCAATCGATCGAACATCTTTTCCCTCAAATTGTCCGTGTGTTACTGTAAGAAATGTAACAATGAAAAAGCATAGCCACGAGGATTGCATCGTTTTTACGATTGAAAAATGACTTGATTTAATCTAAAACACTTGACAAATATTCACTTGCGAAAAAGAATGATTCGATCAAATAAATATATGACCTATATATATGATTAGTAGTAATCATAGAATATTTCAAACGCAAATATAAATGAATCCCTGACAAAGCAAAAATAATTGCTTTCTCTCCAGGTGTTATTTTTCATTTTATTTTCATACTATTAACAAAATCTTATCGCTCTCGACTGTAAAGAACCTCGATAAGTCAAATTTTTTGATCATAACGAATCTTTTAAAACGTCCAGCTTTGCCAAATCCTGTAGGAGAAACGAAAATTGTTTGGCATGATCAAATAAATTCTCTTTTAACTCTTCAACTTTGTATCTTCATCTTATATGAACACAACAAAGTTTTTAAGACAGTCAGATAAAACACAATTTTACGACGAGGAGTCTGAATATCTAACTTTTTCGTAGAACTAACATCATAGGGCATTATATCATCACCACCAAAATCTCAAATGGTGAGAGTGATCACATAACTATAAAAGCTTTTATTTAAGCCATTTCTTCCTTACATTTTTCTTTTTCATGTTGAAAAAAAAAGGGTTAAGAAAAGTGTGTATTTTTTGACTTCTCATAGGTAATGAAAATTCAACAAATTCACATACAGTCCGAAAACACAAGAACACAATAAATAGTTACTTCTCTAAAAGCTTTGAAAAAACATTATCCACCGAGCTGATGAATCGAATTTTGGACAATTTCGATACATTAACCATTCCACTATCATGCCAAATTATTGGTACGAGACATAATGCTTTTATGGATATCTGATAATGTATACTATTATTATAAAGCCTGATTCTCATTTTCTCACGAGACTAATATTGATCGAGGAGGAGGAGATAGCAGATACTCCATTCTAGTAATCTTATGAAATTCGTTGTTTTTCTCTTGATGTTATTTTTTTTAAAAAGAACGAAGATTGAAATTTTCTGGAATTACAAAACAGGAACAGTCCTAGAAGTCGCACTGAACTGCGTTGTATGTAACCCAAGAAAGTTAGCAGGAAGCTTACATTCACAAAAAGAAAGAAGCCCGAATCGAATCGAGTTTTTCTAGATAGAGTTCGTCGAAACTTTTAAGAAATGTGATGATTCTTTTGCAAAGTCTCACGGTGCCAGCAAAAATATGCTCTAATATAAATTTGTCTCATTTTTATCAGAACCATTTCTTTGAATGAAATGTATATGAACAAAGATATATTGCACTTTGTTTACGTTAATAATCTTAGATCTGATTAAATAGTAATATTTTTAATCCTGTTTCCATTTAATCATGCTATAACACAGAAGCAGCGGTCTATAATCTAGAGAGAAGACAAGACAACACGAAACTCAGTTGTTTTCATTCTATGATCCTACTCGATCTAGCATAAACTCGAAAAAATGTTCGTCTTTAAAATTTTATTTCACACAGAGATTAACTAAACTTCATCTCTCTTTCAATCGAATGGATGAACAACGAGCAGAATGTTTGGCTAATGCTCTACTATTAAACAAAGTAATATTCAATTTCTTTCATCTTTTCTTTCGAATTCTACCGCTCACTCATCATGGCACATAGGCGTAGATTACGATCAATGTATTTCCTCTACTATGTTACTAAATACGAACACATTTGATTTTGTTCATTATTTTTTTTCTAGTTATGCGTTCCAGATTTCTCAGCCATTTTTGCATGCTAGAAAGTTCAGAAAGGTTTTTAATCGAAGAGACAATTGCATTTCGAAATTTAATAGAGCCAGATTTTTTATTTTCGACTTAGTTTTTGAGAGAAATGGATATTTTCTCACTGGAGTATACATAGTTTTGCGAGTTTTTTCAGAAAAAAACTGATCCCAAAAAATAATAAAGAAGAATTTGACTCTGTTAAGTTATAGTGATCAGTTTTGGCTACATTTTAATGTCAATTCAAGATCTCTATCGTTAGATTCGCGGCAGAAATCTAGAACACACAGATATATACTTTTTGACACTTAATATAGAGATAACTCTTGAATAACTGAACATTTTGGTTTGATATTTTCAGCTAGATCGATTGTTTTGGATCGAAAATAGATCTTTGATAGATGGAGAGAGCTTAACTCATCCAACGGTACATAACAATATTTTACTGTGAAAATTTCCATTATGCTACTATTTGACATAAAATTCATTTTTAGAAAGTAGGAGAGATTATTATCTTATAGACAGCTTGATATAATCTATAGTCTCAGTAGATTACAAACAATTTTAACAGAATGTTTGTTAGGCTGAAAAATCAGTTTTCTAAAAAAACAGTATATAAATACTTGAGAGTACTTCTCATGGTCATATTCGAAATCATCTCAGCAGTGTTTCCTAAGTGAAAAATCTGTCAAAATTTGCACAGATTATTAAACTTAACAACTCGATTAACTTTTAAAAAAACGATTTTTTTTAAAACTGACAAAAAAAAGCTTACTTTCAACTTTAATATGCTATTATTAGTTTTTACAATAAGACTAACGGATTAGAGTGTCTCTAATAGATCGTTGACTATCAGCATTATAAATAAAGAACAATAGTAGAACAGAACGTATGCCAGAATAAGATTTCGACTCATTATTATTAAGAATGACTCAATAGTAGTGATAATACTTTATTATTGTCATCATAAAGTATCTCAGAGACAGTATCAAATAATTAGAAGTAGGTAATGTGTTTGTCAGACTTTTCACGTTATCTTTGTCGAAATACATTTTGTACAGGTAACATTTATATATCATCTAGGCTTTTGGAAAATTCCTTAATATGCAAAATGATGATCTTCAATAATT